GCTGCTGGGTGCAGGTGTGGCTGATGTCACCTGTGAGCTTCTGGTTGGAGATGTAATTATCATCTGTGGTATGACTTTTGAAGGTAATGAGAAAAATGGGAGGATGGGAAAGCACAGTGGCTTAGGCTGAAAGATAAAAACACGTAAAGGAAGAGGCTGAATCTTCTTTTACCAGGTGCAGCATCACTGGGGCAGTGTTCTGTCTTCACTCTGGGCCTCCCATGTCCTATGGGACACTGCGGTCACATCTCTCAGAGGACACGGTCCACACTGTACAATAAGGACAATGGATTCCCTGCCCACCATTCAATAACTTATTAAACATTTACCAGGTTCTAGGCCGTGTTCTAGAGGACTAGGGCACGGAACAAAATGAACACTGGTGTCTGGCCTCTTAGGGCCTCAATGTGAGTGGAGACTGATGGACAAACTGTATCAGGTACTGAGAACATGCTGTGAAGGAAACATCTAAGGGAGCAGATGTGGGAGGAAGGCTGCGCTTCAGACCGGAAGTCAGAGGTGAGAGTGAGGACAGGGAAGAAAGCAGTGGGTTCTGCCCACGCGTCTGAGGACGTCTGAGGGGGGCAAAGCTTGCTGGGTGTATTTGAGGAGGGAGCAGGAGGGATGAGGGGCGTGTCCAGTGGCAGCAATCAGGCTCCCTCTGACTCCTGTGCCAGGCCAGACAGGGAAGGACGGGGCAAAGGAACCGGAGAGATGAGGGGGCCTAATGGAGTGGTACAGACTTCGTTGTCTCCCTCAAGGCAGCCTTGCAAGGGATGTCGGCTTGGGAAATGCCAAGAAGGGAATTTTATTTCACCTTCATCTTTTTATATTGCTCGAAACACTTCTTCAGTTAACACGGGACCAAAGAAACAAAGCAATTTAGACAGGTCCCAAGGTCACCATGCCGACCATGAGGAGGGGAAGGGCCTGGACTCCGGCGGCTGCATTGACCGTCGCTGCCTTCCCTTCCCTCTGCCTCCTCTCCCTCTTTGACTTCCAGATTTTATTGTATGCACGTGTTTCTAAAAGATGCTGCCAGTTCTCTGAGTGAAGCAGAGGGCAAACAAAGAGCAGCACAGAGCGGGTCACCACATCTGCACAGAGGCACCAAGGCCAGTGGCTAGAACAGCAAGGAGCAGGTCACCACATCTGCACAAAGGCACCAAGACCAGTGGCTAGAACAGTAAGGAGCAGGTCACCACATCTGCACAGAGGCACCAAGACCAGTGGCTAGGACAGCACGGAGCAGGTCACCATATCTGCACAGAGGCACCAAGACCAGTGGCTAGAACAGCATGGAGTGGGTCACCACATCTGCACAAAGGCACCAAGGTCAGTGGCTAGAACAGCAAGGAGCAGGTCATCACATCTGCACAAAGGCACAAAGGCCAGTGGCTAGGACCGTCTTCAGATCACCCGCTAGCCCAATTCTTCCTTTTCTAGAAAGCTGTTCCCACACACTCTGAGAGACAGTAAAATCCTGGCAGGACCCACTGACAGGAGAGATGAATACTTCACATGTGCCTTTGGATCACAGTACGTACAAGATCAGTAGGAGCATGCTGGTGACATGTAGCTGGCGGAGGAACATCTCCTAGAGAAATGAAAAGGTGAAACTGTGTATGATTAACTTGAAGTCATTTGGAAAACACTGATTTATAACGTTTTATATGGCTACCATGATTGCTTGCTTACTTGCAAGTCTCATCAGAGACTGGGGGTTGAACCTAGGGCCTCTTGCATGCCAGGTAAGTACTCTGTCACTGAGCTAAGTCTCCAGGCCACTCATTATTGCTGTCTTTCTCCTCTCACATTTTCCATTAGGATAGCCATCACCTGAAGCAGCCAAGTGACTCAGAACTTGGGGTGTTGGTGGCCTAGACCACCTACAGAGCCCGTCAGGGAATGGCTGTTAGAGGACGAGCTACAGAGGTCAGAACAACACAGGCTCCTAATGGTGTAAGAGCCTTGGTGCTATCTCAATCAAATTTCTTTAGGCAGTGTCTTAGCGTTTCTATTGCTTCAATGAAACACCATGACCAAAAGGCAAGTTGGGAAGGGAAGGGTTTATTTGGCTTACATAACAAAGACTATTGGGGTCTGGCCCCTCTACGGTCTTTGCCCAGAGTTCCAGAAGAGATGCTACCAGTGGCAGATTAATTAATCTGAGGGATTATCAAATAAATTGTACACGAAACTCTTTAGTCCATTCACTTTATTCTTCTGAGTCACTTTTCTCTATATACAGCTTCTTTTCTGCTCTCACACTTAGCTCCTTTCTTGCCTGATTCTCTCTACATTTTTCTGCTCTTAGTTCTTTTCCATCTAGTTCTTCCCCATCTAGTTCTTTCCATTGTAGTTCCCCAATCTAGTTCTCTCAAGTCTCTGAGGTTTACAGTTATATACCCATGCAATCAGCAATGCTCTGGCCAAAGCAAGGCCACACAGCTTAAATTCTTACAGGGTCAAAAGGAGGGGTAAGCAGTAATTGTCCGCTATCGTTAGCAACCCAAAAGGGAAATGACTAATGGGGAATGGAATCAACTGACAGCTAAACTGGGTAAATAGATCTGAGAAAAGAGATTTATATGCTCAAATTGTATTCTTTTTTTTTTTTTTTTTTTTAAGATTTATTTATTAAGTATACAGTATTCTGCTTGCATGTATCCCTTCAGGCCAGAAGAGGGAGCCAGATCTCATTACAGATGGTTGTGAGCCACCATATGGTTGCTGGGAATTGAACTCAGGACCTCTGGAAGAACAGCCAGTGCTCTTAACCTCTGAGCCATCTCTCCAGCCCCTCAAATTGTATTCTTAAAAGTGGTTAGTTAAGCCGGGTGGTGGTGGTGCACACCTTTAATCCCAGCACTCTAGAGGTAGAGGCAGGTGGATCTCTGTGAGTTTGAGGCCAGCCTGGTCTACAGAGCGAGTTCCAGGAAAGGCTCCAAAGGTACACAGAGAAACCCTGTCTTGAAAAAACAAAAAAAAAAACAAAACAAAACAAAAAAGAATAAAAACAGTGGTTAGTTAAAATGTCAAGAGTCTAAGTCACTAAGTCATGAGCTGAAAATAAAACTGCCTTTTTCTCCTTTGGAGCCATATCTGTCTCGGTCTAACCTCGGCTGTGCCGTTTTCTGTCAGGGCAGGGGTAGCTAGGCAGCCTGTGCCACAGCTTGATGTACCTGGTATGTAAAAGCCCTTTTGCTCTGAGTTAATTGTTAGAGGGGAGGTCTGGAGATACCACTTGGGCTATGGGAGAAAAGAGAGTTTAAGCTTAATTTGCACAAGAAACAAAGGCTTTGTACCTAACATCCATCTGGCCTTGGCAGTTGTCTCCTTATGGATATTTACCTTATTTTCAGGAGACTAACAGGGGGTCCGGACACTTATCTATCTGCAGTTTGTCCTTGGATGTTTGAGAAGTATCTCAGATAAACTGCTTTTGTGCAGAGATGGCCCTGGCCCTGGATACTTGCTGAAGGAGATAATTACAGAAGGCAGATACCCGATTCTAATGCTAAAAAGGGGAAACAACAGCCTGGAAAAAAAGAAGTCTTGCCTGTGTGGCTGTTGTCAACACAGTTGGGGAGAAGTTATCCAATACCTTAATTGTATTGGGAAAAACTGTGCCCAATGACTATTTCTAACACTATTAGAAGTTCTTAGAATCAAATGGAAAAACTATAATAGCCCACATGAAATTCATAGCAGGAAACGGCTAATATTCAAAAGCCAACATCACCAAGACTCAAGCCTTGGCTTTGTCCTCTGGAAAGCCATTGGCTTCTTCCAGGTATGGCTTTGTCATAGTCAGCTGACTTCCTACTACGTATTTCTGTGGCCCACAGCACCTAACACTTCAGCATTGCTGTTCATCACTGAAGGAAATCAGGACAGGAGCTCAAACAGGGCAGGATCCTGGAGGCAGGAGCTGATTACTGACTTGCTTCCCATGGCTTGCTCAACCCATCTTCTTATAGAACTCAGGAACACCAGCCCAGGGATGGCACCACCCACCATAGGCTGGGCCTTCCCCCATTGATCATTAAATGAGAAAA